GCACACACACACACACACACACACACACACACACACACACACACACACACACACACACACGTTCTTCTATCCCCATGAGGACTTTGTATTGACTTCCATTCATTTACTGGTAATTTCTGTAGCCTAACCTTGACCCTGACAAAAAAAACATTATTGGTTCTGATTCAAGATAAAAGCAATGTCTTTGTTGCACTTTGCTATATTGTTTGCATGGTATGAATGTAGAATGGGGTTAGAGGTTGATGTTCAGGATACAATGCTAAGTTAGCAAAAATCAATGTTTCTAACTAATACAGTTTGTCTAAGATGATTACACAACAGTTCACTATTTTGAAAGCACACAATGACACAGCACAGCACAAAGCTAAAATCAGTATGACAAAAGGGGGACAGCAGAAATTTATAAAGCCTAAATTTATAAAGCATAAACAAACAAAGAGTAAAACACTACAGGAGTCACAGGAGCATGGTTACAGACTCTGCAATGATAACTGCTGTGATGAAAACAAGCAACTCCACCTACCCTGTTGTGAACAACTTAAAAAAAAACAGCAAATCTTTGTTTTATGGCTAGTAAAAAAAATTAAAAACTCTTCAACTAAAATAAAAAATAAATGTAGCTCAGTGTTTAAAAGCTCCGTTTTTGAAACAAAAACTTATCAGTTGTGGGGCACTGTAGGTGGTAGTTCTCAGGGACTTTCAAACCTAGGACTCTGTGTGTGTGCGTGTGAACTCTGGCTTTGAAAAGCAACATAAAACCGGTAAGTGATATACTGGAGTCATGCTATCAATCTTTTAACTAGTTTGTGACATTTCCAGACATTTCCTGGTCGCATCCGAAAATTTAGTTGCCCTCATGTGGCCCACGTGAGCTCAACGGAAAATTGAAAATCCAAAATCAAATGTAAATCCTTCCGCACACAAAACCCCAAAACTGCTATTGTTTCAAAACCAGATGTTAAGGTTCTTTTATTTTGAAGGTAAACACTTGGGTGTTTAGAAAGCTATCATTAGCACCCACCTGTGTGAGCTAGCAGCATGAGGCCTTACTCCATTGGTAAGTGGAGTTCAGAGATGTGGACGTTACAGTCCTGTCAGCACATGCTACCAAACAAGTTACAGGCTTTAAGTGTTTATTTACTGAAGCCATTGGTAAAGCTGCGTGCTTAGTTTATGGAGAAGATTACTGTACTTAAGAATTACAACCACGGTTATTAGAGCAGTCACACACATCAGAAGCTTTTATGTTTAAACTATAAAAACAACAGAGCCTTTTTTACAAGGATTTACAAACCCATGGATGGAGCAGTCAAGACCACCTTTGTGTTGAACTATGCTTAATTGCAATGCCCTGAAAATAATTCTCTCATTAAACGATCACCTGAATCATCTTGCATTTTGTCAAAGATTTCTCAGTATAGAAAATCTCTACAAAAAAAGCTTTTTTTAATTTGTTCATTTATTGTTTGATAATACTGCATATGGGTGCAATTTTTTTGCATAACTATTTTTTGCAAATGCTCAATATTTACAATACATTTTATTTTCTAGATGACCGAGTCAGATTTGTATTGCACTTCCTGTATTTACTATTAGCAGCTAACAAAACTCAAATTGATAGCCAATTATAAAAGTAAAAGATTTTGTAGAACTATATTTAACTTGACCCAGTTTTATGCAATAGCCTCAGGTTTTTGTGACCCTTGCGGAATATATTTTCACACCTCCAATCTTGCGATAACAATTCCAACTTTACATGAATAAATTTTCCTGTGACCATTTATCACCACTCTTCTGAGGCACTGACTAGGTGACTAGGTCAATTATACAAGTCAAATTATTATTATTTTTTTACAAGCTTTCCTAAATTCACATAGACTCACCTGAAGGCAATCCCATCAACAACTACATAATGTCAAGTGACATGGCAAAAAAAAAGTTTTCACTACAAGAAAGCATATTATGTGCGCACAAAAGTCAACCTAAGCCAAGTACAGACAAAATTATCAGTATCTCACCAAAGATGATGGAAAAGAAAAGAAGTGCAGCAACAGCTGAGCCCATTTTGAGTTTTGAGTCCTGCTCGGCAGTCTGAGGTCTGGCTGCACACACTGGGGTCTATTCATTTCTGTGACCCGTTCTCCACACACTGCCACCTCCCAGCTACCCATCCAAGCATATGCCTGCCCACACTAACCAAAGCTCTGCAGACCAACTCTGTAAGAGTGACTTCACAATGGGGCTTTTGTAACTATGTGCTCAACTCTAAAGAGTGCACAGGAATGCCAAAGAACACACGCTTACAATACACACGCAGCTTTGTGCACACTCACTGAAGTTTTTAATTTTTTGGATGTGGATTGTTTTTCCATCCTTTTTTACTACAGCAGAAGTAAAAACGTTTAAAGTAAAGTGTTTCTATTCATGGGATCAACTCAAATCAACTGAAAAGTGCTAAATCTCTAATGTCAACCATTCAACACTCTAAACATAGTCAAAAGTTTGGAAATTACTTTAGAACGAGTTGACAGTGAGCATGCATGTTTTTCAGATCTACCTCCAAAACAAAGAGCTTAACGTTAGCCTTTTTCACACAGCACTTTTTAAAACAGACTTAAGACCATTAAGTCACCTTCCTGCATCAGTATTGCGTGAAAAAAAAAATAAACAAGAAAAACTGGTTGGTGCTGATTAACAGCTTTTATGCTGTTGAGCAGGCAATGTAGTCACAGAGCCAACTTGGCAAATAAAATGGACAGAGAATGTTCTGCATCTTTCTAACCAACAACATATCAATGTCACTCTGCTGGTTTTGCGATGCTTGTTTCTTATGTAAGAAATATTAGATCTGAAGCTATTTTAGTTATGTGGACTGAGACCAATTCTAGATGATTTTAATTTATCTCAAAGAACTATGATTACCAGGTTTCAGTTTATATTAAACTTTTATTTTAAAAAAAGACTTTTGTTATTTTAACCAAAGCTGCTGCTGCTTCTACTACTACTACTCCTACTACTACTACTACTACTACTACTACTACTACTACTACTACTACTACTTTTCTTTCATGCACACATTTTTACAAGACCTCATTTCAAAATAAGCTGCAGCAATGTTCATCATGATATTAAACATTAAGAACAAAACTGAACAGTAAAAGCTGCAAAAAGTCTTTGTCAAAATGCTTTTTCTTTTAATTTTCTGACAGACCACAACAAACACAATCTTCTGGACTACATCTACATAGAAGACCTGTTTGATTTCATGCAAATGGTGCTTTGTTCAATTTTTATTTACAACCTGGCAATAGTGCATTTAATAATCAGGAAAAAAAACTTTTCAGAGTTTCCAAAACACAAATTACCTATTTTAATCAACTAAATATTGTCAATGCCAATCACCAGCCAATTTTTGGTGCAACCCCTATTAGAGCTGTAAGTGAATAAACTGGTCTAGTTATGTGAATGAGACGCTCTAGTCTTACTGACCACTCACCACATTTATACACAAAACTCATCCATTCTCCCCCAACCCCAGACAAGACACTGAACAAAGTAAAATACACCTCAAATAAGACAACACAAACCAGGGACTTATTCCGGCGAAACTGCCAACATTTCTACTGCCCAAGGCTGGAGGCAGCTGAAAAGGTATGGGCAGGCTCAAAGAGACCTCCCACCCCCCACCCCACTCATTCTTACAATCAACCCTGCTGGACAAACAAGCAAACCTCCACCTCCTTTCTCACTGAGGCCCCAAGTCATTTGCCAAGTGCCTAAAAATCTACAGGAAGAGGGAAAAAAACCCACAGAAGTTGAAGTTTGGCGACAATAAAGACAACAAGAATGGGTAAAGAGATTTGAGAAATTAGTGATATTTAGTGTGTAGTCTTAGTCAGTTTTATTTAGTGTGTAGTCTTAAGTCAGTTTTAATGTCCTTGAGTCAAAAAATGATGCAATTTTTTAAACTGAAGCTACAGCATCTTTTCAAGGTGGGGGATGCTGCTGTGGTATCAGGACCGTCTTAGACAGAAGAGGCAGAGATGAAAAAAGTCTGAGACATAGTGATGACTGACGAGGAAGTGCTCCATTATTTGTTTTATAAAGGAAGGAGAGAAGAGGCCTACTGAGTACCACTCAGAGGTCCGCTCAGATGGGGAAGACAACTCAGTACACCCACCTGTTCCAGGTCTGGTCCTGTATCAATGAGTCTTCCAGTGGAACTGCCTATTCTTGCCATTGTGGTGGCTTAGACATTTACAGAACAGGCTCTCCTTATTGAGCAACAGTTTCACTATGAACAGCTACTTCCTTCTTCATCCCTTTTCGATGAGTCATCATAGATATTTTCTAAATCACTTGAACTTTCTCCACTTAAATATGTCCTTGTTAGGATACGCCTCAATCTACGATCCCCATTGCGACGTCATCAGTCTTCGGTAATAATCGGCCATGTGCTTGGGTGTTTCTGTGACTGGTTTGTTCGGTTTATTTTTAAACACTTAGGCCTTAATAAAAAAAAAATACATACCCATTGTATTCTACAACAGTGATTACCCTGTAAGGGAATTTGGTACTGGGTGTTGGACTTGATTTAACAACATTGTTTTGGGGCTATATGAGGTAGATGAAGTACCTTCCACATCCCATGCACTGGGAGAACATGAAAACTCCTTGCAAAAAAGGTCCTAACTGGGACTTGAAGCTGCAACCTTCTTGCTGCGAGACAACAGTACTAGCTTTTCTGTGCAGCTTGACTGTACTGATTTAACAAAAACATGGCTCTATCTTTTAATAACCAAATAGTGAGAAAGACTAAATGGAGGGCTGCATTTTAGTGAAACAACTGGACCAGAAATGGGAATTTGCAGTTAATTTTTTATGGCATTTCAAAAAAAATGTAATCGAATAACTACAATATTTGGATGAACTACTGACTTAATAGATCATAAATAGTAAATGGACTGTACTTATATAGCAACTTTCTATTCAACCAGGATACTCAAATTGCTTTACACTACAATCCGTGCCCTCATTTACCCACCCACACAGCACTCTCTACAAACCTAATCTGTATAGATCATTCTATAGCGACTAATCAGTGCTTTAAATCACATTTATACACACATTTATGCAAATCAGAGAATTTAGTGTTGCCCAGGAACACTTTGCATGCAACTATAAAGTTGGGAATCAAACCACCAACTCTCTCATTGGAGGATGACTGCCCTAACCACTCATTCACAGACAGCCCTAGATCTAATAGACTATTTAGTTGCTCCCTTTTTGCAGATTGTAGGGTTGGGTAAAATCATATCATGTGTAATTAATCATCAGAAAAACATTAATCGATTACTTTTTGGCACTTGAGGATTAATACGAATAATGCCACCAGGCAGACTGACTGGAGATTTCCCCAGTCAGTTCGCTTGATGCTCCTCTCCGCTTCAAGTATGATGAACATTTAAAAAAACTGTTCGGTAATTGATTCATCATAAGATCAGTTTTACTTCACAATTTAAAATTTGATGTATAGCCTGAAGTCTGCACTTTTGACACAATTTTGAACAGATTTTTATAGAGAACAAATCTTTCCCACTAGAGTGATTTAAATTGGTCATGTAACTAGGGCATGCAGGTGTCCAGGGACTCCAGGAGACTAATTGTCATATTAATTGTTGATGGCTAAATACCCCAATTAATCATGATTAATTGTTTCTGCCGATATCCCCAACCCTAATCTATTGGCAAGTTTTCACTAGAGTTAAGCGATATTTGCAAAAAATTTATCATGATTAACTGTGGCATTTAGCTAATAGTGATTATTATGACGATTAATAGATGACAATTACACTTGCATGTTTTTTGACTCTACAATTACCCCGTGTTGTAAAATTGTACTTAAAGATCAGTCAAAATAACCTTCATTTAAACAGGTTCAAATAGTAAGCTGTGAATTGAAACTCACCTTTTCCCCAATGTGGAGTGGCAGCATGTCTTTGAAACCAATAAGTTGTGTTTTTTAGTCCGACTTTTTGCTTTTTTTTTGTAAATGTATTTTTAAGTAGATCACATACATTTAATGAAAACCTTCGTAAGTGTAAAAAGAGAATATGTCTTTAATAAACTGACTTTACGAAACTGGAATGTGAGGAATTTGGTCAACAACTGAGTCAAGTACAGCCACAGATGGAATATTGTTACAAATACAACTAATTTGGTTGTCAGATTTGCTAGCTGAAAAATTGCTTTCATGTGTACAACAAAACTAATTGATCCAAAGGAAAAACTGTATATAGCCATACAGTACAATTATTTGATAAATGTTCAATAACTCAATGCAGGTTCGCAACTCATCTTGCCATTCCCCGTCGCTGTAAATCTAACAACATTTTTGTATCAATTTGCTTCCATCAAACTCTGCTTCACCGCTCTTTTCACTACTGTTGTTTATTCTTAAAATAGATGCAGCCTGTCAGTCGCTTTAACCACCCTCTGCTGCAACGCTTCCCTCTATCCAAGCTCTATTACGTTAGCTTTGTCTGAGAATGTTGGGGATGTCAACCAAATGGACTATAATGTCCTTTGCTGACTGTTCATCAGTCACTCAGTCTTTAATGGTAACAATCATCAATGAGCAATAAAAACATGTGGACGCACAACTTCTTAAAGGCAAGACAGAACACCAGCTCAGAGTGCAGACAATGAGGCGGATTAATGAGATTAGCGAGCAAAGCCTAGCAAAACAGAAGCTGCCTATCTATTAAACACGAAGAGAAAATCCCTCTCTTTTCCCTCCTGCGTTTTATTTTCTGGATAATGGCTCAATTCCTTCACAGAGTGTATAAATAAATGATGACAGATCTTCTCCTACAGTAGTACTGACTAAAATAAAGGTCAGTTTAGCACATGAATAATAATACAGATGTTTCCCCATTGGCAATGAATGAAATATCTCATTTTCACTCAAATTCTGACAGAAAAACTCTTAATATTCTCTATAGTTTCACTGGCATGGCTGTATGAACATTAGCTGAAATGAATGTACTTCTCCAACGTGTTTGCTATTCTTGCTATAAGGTTCAATGAAAAAAAATTCAGAACAACTGACATCTTACCTGTTATGGTTAGCTCATAGTAGAACCTCATTTTATAGAAAATGAGTTCAATACTTACAAAATATTGATTTGTCTGAATGCATCCAAAACCAAACTGGATTGGTTTCTGTATAACAACTGAAATTTTCTAAACTTCATTAATAACTGATGCAAATGCCATTTCACAAACTGTCATACTGCAGTGCTGGTGTAGATTCTCATTCATCCAGTACTGTAGTAAATTATAAAATCC